GTTATTATAACAAATGTTACTGTGTAAACGTAATCTCATAATTATTCAATAGGAAACACTTATCCTTAAAGTCTATTTTTCTGTATTCGAGTTTTACATTTCAGTTGTATATTCATTTGTCTGGTCTACGGTACCACTTTTTTATTATTAAACTTTTTTTATTTATTATATGCACTTACAACTTAGTTTTTGTTATGTTAGGTCAGTTATTTAGATATATCTGTAAACTGGTTGTTTAAATGCGGGAACCTTCAAATAAAAGTTTGGACTAAGAGAAATATTATTTGCAATGCACGAATACAGTGAAACAATGCATGGAATTTTTCCAACGAACGGTATTCTCAATGTCCCCTTCAGCTGTTCAGGATCATATAAACCGAGCAATGACTTACAAAGGATGCTGAACGTATATTTGCATTTTCATGATTATGATTAAGTGTATTGCTAAATAAAGAAATGAGAAAAATACTATACAATATGTTTTAATTGTTTTTGCCCATTATTGCATATAAATACAATAACATTTTGGATTTAAACAATCACCAGTTACCTCATAACGATAATGTCCGATTACACCCGCATATGTTTACATTCGGTTAATGGATAATGAAATAACGAACATACATGTAGTTTACTTTGTTTGTTTATGATAAAGCCCCAATTGTAAATATTGCCTATACCATATTTGTCAGATTTTTTTTTAAAAGTAGGTCTCGGCAAAGTTCACTGTCTTTATTTATTTAATTTTGTCACTTACAGACACCTCTTGTCAACTGATTTTAACTTAACAATTCCTCGTGCAATTTGGCATTGATATAAAACGGTTACATCTATGCCTTAAAATAAATCAAACTGTGAAATGAGACTTAATTAACAAATCAAACAATCAATGTTTCGTTACCGGTCAATTAGCGTATTAGACACAACCAATTGATAAGTCACACCTTCGTCGTCCGGTATTGTCAGGGTAATTGTCTATATAATTGACTTTGTAGTCCCCTATCAACCGTACGATATTCGGTTTGTACAGATTCCGGTATTGTCAATGTTTAATACAATAGTTTAAAGAAGGGAAAATTTGGGACTGAATTATTCGTCCGGTATTTAGAGAGTTCCGATTTTCTCAGCGTCCGGTTTTCTCAAATTTCACTATAATATTACCCTTTAAAGCATTTCTTGAAAGTTTGAAAATAAATGTTTAAGCAATCACTTTTATTTTTCCCCATTATTTGTTTTCTTTTATAAAAATATTTTTTTCAAATTTTGGAAATATATCTTATTCACTGAGTCAATGTCAAAGTGTAAAGGATTTCCATATTAAAATACAAATGCAAATTCACAGATAGATTAGAGCCTGGTCAGAATGCATTGATTTGCTACACCAATCCCACTTGATTCACGCAAGGTAAAGATTATTGCCGAGATTGCAACACAAAATATTGCAAAAGACAGCGGCGGGGATAATACATGTTGTTTTTTCTTTTAATCTGTAGAATGCCTTTTAACAATTTCCTAAAAAAAGGCTCATAACATGCTCTTGTCTATTGTTGTTTTGCATATAAACAAAGGTAGTGACTACAATTCAATTATTTTGGGAAATATTTTCATTCTTAACTTACAATGACATTTCTACAAAATACTCGACCAAACGGAGAATCTTATTAAAAAAGAATAATTGATTTTATTTCAAAAGGAAGTTGGAAAACACTGCTAACTTGAAAACATTTTATCTTCTTCGTTCAATCCAAGGTCAAAGTAATTGACCACCTTAAGTAGGGGATTTAAAGAATCATCAATTACCAATCATCTACAATTTTTGTTATTCCTGTTTCTTTATTCACAAAAAAATAAATTATTTATAAGTTGTCTAATTGTCCTTCCTTCTTCCTGGTCTAGACATAGAATTAAAATAATTTAATGACTAGTTATGTTGGTTGTATCAATGTTACAATGTACTTCGTTAAGACCATAGAGCAATATCTAACTTCAATATTTCTTGTCATATTATTGCAATTAATAATTGGTAAAATATTTTCATAGCAACGTTTGAAAATGAAGATGTAGTAACTATTTTAACTGACTTGCAAAATTGAACACACACATATTTTTTTGACTAGATGGTGCATCTATTTATCATTGCTAAACATTTGATAAAGAGCCAAAAACCGCAAACCATTTCAATAAACAAAAGTTATTGCAATCAGGACTTGACTTACCAATTGGCATGAGTTTATTCAATGTTAAATGGTTAAAAAAGGATAACGTAAAATAATTATCTGTCATATTACAAAATGCACAAATTCAGTGGCACCCACTTTATCTTTACATCTCATATCTGGACTCTGCTCCTGTATAAATCTTACGAATTGTCCTTACATAAAATATCGATTTAGAATACCGGTGTTGCGTGTCAGCCGAACATTCGTTTATCCATACTCCGGATGAGATCCCTAAATATATATCACTTGTAAATGTTTAAATGAGGCAATGGGAATGTTCTTAATCTAAGAGAAATTTGTTATGTAATTACCAGTAAGTATTCGCCACTGCTATGTCATAAATATCTTTATACTAAATGAAAACTAATACTTGTATTTTTTAAAATTCACATGATTATGAATAATTATGATAACAGAAACATGAAAAACATTGGGAAAGTAAGATCGCGATTGTGAGTTATGACCAATGTTCAAATGTAACTGCTCTTTTTTTTAATTGTTCGGTCATTCCAAGAGTAGGTAACTCACAATCAAGGCCTTACTTTTTCGTTTTCGTTTAGCTGAATTCTTATTATATATTAGTTCTCCTTTTTGTTAGATAGTTATTAACTGTTCTCCCTTCTTTTTAACCGAATTCATTTTTTATTTCTGTTTTAAATCGGTATAAAATGAAATGATATCTACGGTCTTGAAAGTTTTGGATATACAAATAAATCTACCACTTCAAACAGCGACATATTGTAATGCTTATCCTTATTGCGTAAATAAAAAAGTAATCACTCATGCTGAAGTTAATTTGTCTCTCTATACTTATTTATTTGTGTACGTTTAAAATATTTTTTGTCACGCACTGGTATCTTTAACTGAAAACAACATACACAATTCATGTCTTAATAACTGATGGAAATTGTACAATACTTTCTGGTTCAATAAGATTTCATTTACAAAAAATCATTAAACTATATTAACTCGGGAGTTCTTTCTACTGAATAATGGAATTCAGTTCCATAGAAAACGCAGAGAGAAACATTCGCTTCTTAAGTTCTTTTAACGTACATACTGTTATGTGTGAATAAGTGAATTTTGTTTCATATATTACCCTTTTAGATATTGACGGGTAGACACTTTAATGCTTGAATAATTGAATTATTAGGTCACATAAATAAACCCTGCGGAAACTCATACTTAAACAGAATGTTTCATTTTGGATCTTAACTGTTGTATTAATAAATTAAAAGTTGATTGTAACATATTTTTATTGGTATTTAGGTATAGGTTTTGTAGTATTGTTCCAAATCATTACACTGCAAGAACACGAGATGCAATAATTGCATGACTTGTGAACCATAATCTATTTATTTCGTGCAATTGTATGACCTCAATCATTTTGCAGATTTTCGTTCGCATTACATGTACTACAAGACATTGACAATTTATAAAAGTATAATGATCGCATTATAAGTCACGTAGACAGGTTATAACTTACGAAGAACCGGTGGGGACATTTCAACTTCATAAATTCCCCATTTTATCTTCATGAATTCCCGATTTCAACTTCACGATTTCACGATTTCATAAAGTTAAAATCGTGAATTCGTGAGATTGAAATTGGGAATTCGTGAAGTTGAAATCGTGATTTAACGAAGTTGAACTCGTGAATTCATGAAGTTGAAATCGTGAATTCACCAAGTTGATTTCGTGAAGTTGAAATCGTGAATTCATGAAGTCGAAACGCGAACTCATGAAGTTGAAATCAAGAATTCACGAAATTGATTTCATGAAGTTGAAATCGGGTATTTGTGAAGTAGAAATCGTGAATTCGTGAAGTTGAAATCGTGAATTCCTTACGTTTAAATTGTGAATTCATGAAGTTGAAATCGTGAATACGTGAAGTGAAAATTGTGAATTCACGAAGTGGACGTGTGACGTTGAAATCAGGAATTCATGAAGTTGAAATCGTGAATTCGTGAATTCTGTATGTTGAAAACGGGAATTCAGGAAGTTGAATTCGTGAAGATGAAATCGTGAATTCATGAAGTAGACATCGTGAATTCGTGAAGTTAAAATCGTGAATTCATGAAGTTGAATCGTTAATTCGTGAAGTTGAAATCGGGAATTCATGAAGATGAAATCGATAAGTCATAAAGTTGAAATGGCCCAACCGGTCTTTCGTAATGACTTCACAATTGTGCTACATTATCTGCAAAAATAATATTTTTTTACATAAAATCATTGCTCTTGCTTGCAACAATCGTGTCCAAATAAATGTTTACGATTTGTACTATAACAACGGTAAAGTGATAGTTCGAATATGAAAAAAAAACCCACAAAAACTTGTAGTGAAATTATTACAGTACATTCGAAACGGACATTGTGTTGTAACTTCTGTAATTTTCATACAGTTTGGTATTTGAAATTCTCTCAGGGTTTTGTTTCTGTTTTCTAAGTACCAGAAATATTTAACCCTGTGACACACCATATCTGATTGGTTTGTCTCATATTGAAGTTTTATTTTTTCTTAAACATCCACTTCTTGTATTCGTGCCATGAATTTCTAAACAGATGATTGTCCCCCGAGGGTATACGTTGCTACTCACTGTTTATGTGGCATGTATAACGTGGTTTGACAGTATGTTATTCTATCAAAATGAACGTATAATCATAACCACTTAATTAGAAGTGATACACTTCATTGCTGATTGGCCAATTCCACTTTCTCTCAAGTTATATTGTATTGTATTTTCAGTGGAATGCGCATATGCCAACATTTACAGAATCGGGACATAATTTTAAGAGTGATACTTTGTTTGGATTTTTACGGCACGTCAACACATAACTGGCCATATCACTGCAAACGCATTTTTGATAGATAAGGTATTAATTGTGAATAAGTTTAGAAAAAGTAGATAATACAAGGAATATTAATGAGATTTGAGTTTGCATTTTAATCTAGGGATACTTAAAGCAAAATGATCCTTTTTGTCTTATTGTCTGTTACCATCTCAAGTGTTTGCGGACAAACGGGTTCAATGTGTGACTGTCAAGAAGTTGCTATGTTAAAGCAAACAGTGCAAGAAGTTCTGATAGAACAACGATTAGAGTCTGCTAGACTTAGTAAATTAGAGGCGAGACTGGGTGCTTATGAGACAACTGGACCAATTCCTAATGGTAAATATCTACTTTTAATTTTGTTTGATATATTGTATATATCACATGTTTAAAATAAGATGTTATATTGCAACAATTTAAAACAATATATGTCCGGGCATTACACTTCTGAACGAAATGTCAATGTTTCAAAAGTCAACTAAAACTTTATCATTTAATATATTCAAATCGAAACGCAAGACAGAACAAACGTTTATCATCTTGTTTGAAAAATATTGATGACATAAAGTTAAATTTGTGCATCAGTTATATAGAACAACAACAAATATATTTTATCGTCACATTTGCCCTGATGAGAAACCGGTTGGCAGATAATTAAATTTTAGTTTACTCATAAACTTTTGTTATATAAGAGGGAGGTTTACCGTCACAAATTGGAAATATAACTATGTTATTAATCAGTTGTAAAACTACCGTATTTTCACTCATTTTTACTAAAACGTACATATAAATTTGCAAAAACTTCTTTATTCAACAAAAATGTAAACCATATTTTGACCAAACAAAAAGAATGAAAACATACAGAAAAATAAATAATTTTAACTAGAAATGTGTCGTTACGCAAATAATGCCCCCGCATGAAGCCAAAATTTTAAATGATATAATATCTAGTGTGCTTGCGCAAACGATTTTGTTTTCATTCTAAGTTCATAGCCCTTAAACTATTCAATGTTAACAGAAACCATTTTTATACAAAATTATTGGCCTTGAAACTATTGTGTTACAGCGCTAACCTTTTGCAAATTGCATATTGCCTATTTGTAGCCGAGATTATGATAAGATATTGTGATTTTTTTTAAATTTTTTAAAGTTTAAGGGGGATAAATGTTAAAATAATCTGTCAATGGCCAAATAAGAACTTGACCTGTATTTTCTGGTAAAATACCAGCACATGCAATGTCATCCTCGGACATACATTCCTACAAAAGTAAGAGCAAAAACTGAAAATTTCTTATCTTTTTCTAATTTCATGAAGGAAAACTCTGTCTTAAATAATCAGACCAAAACCAAATTTGAACTTGACTTATATTTTATGATAAAATACATGCACATGTGATTTCAACCTTAAACATACATTTCCACAAAAGAAAGAGTGCAGAAAACTGACATTTTTTTCCACCGTCCAAAAGGGATACCTTTGACCAAAATCAACGAACCATGACCAAATTCTTATTTGACCTGCGCGTTCTTTGGACGTATTGATATGTAAGACTTGAGTTGAATAATTACAACTGTTGGGGAGATAATGTACGAAACTTGAAACCTTTTTCTTTTCAAAGTTAAAGGGGCATAATCTGCTAAAAATCATCGACCCATGACCATATTCAATCTTGACCTTGGCATTCCCATCCGTATCCATCTGTCAAATTTGTGTTGATTGTGAACAACTGTTGGGTAGATAATGTACAGAAACTGATTTTATTTTCAAAGTTAAAGGGGCATAACTCTGCCAAAACCATCGAACAATGACCTAATTCGAACTTGACAGGCGCATTCCTTGTCAAATTTGAGTGGAATGTGTTGTTGGAGATTATAAACGGAAACTGATGATGAAGGAGTGACGGAGTGACGGCATAACGGAACGGGGTAACACTATATGCCCCAGTTATTCTATGGCGGGGACACAAAAGTTACCACCAGTAGAACATGAACCCACGTACGAAATACACTTAGTATCTATATTGAAATTGAATGCTGTTCAGAAAGGAAATTCTTCATTAACTATCTAATGGCTTTATACCGGTACAATTATTTCAAACCATATGAAAATGAAACCGAATGAATGTAAGCAACATGAATTACATGTGTAAACTCTTATTACTTAACAATTAATATTAGTGTCGCAATCCAGTCATGTCTTACCATAATCATTATGATCTTTACATTGTAGATCGTCTGGCAATGTAAGAACAAAATGTGAAAGATATCAATATGAAATTTAATGAAACAGTTACCGGAACCAAGAGTAAACAGATAGGATTACATCGGGACATAGGTGCAATTGTGAAGAAAACGCTGATTTCAGAAAAAAAGAATTAAATAAATTAGTTTCAGACTTAAATGAGAAAGTTATAGAACATAAGGACATCATCGAAACATTCAAGGTTGAAGTTAACAGTGCCATAGAAAAACGGTTTCATAATATTACTGCCGAGCAAGTCGAATATATGGACACCATTGAAACGTTCAAAGTTGCAATTAACAAAACTATAGAAAAACGTTTCCTTGACATTATTGCTGAGCAAGTGGAATATATAGACACCATTGAAACGTTCAAAGTTGCGATTAACAATACTGTAGACAAACATTTCCTAAATATAACTGCTGAGCAAGTCAAATATAGGGATGAAGTTAAAGATATGTTGAATAGCACGGAAAGTCTTGTCAGGACTGTATTCAACAATATCTCAAAAGTTGACAGTGAAGTTTTGGGCTTGTATGAAAGAATAGATAATATAAAAGAAGTGAATAAAACCATTGAGCGTATTTCATCAGATCTTATATCAGTGGATCAAAAATTTAAGAAAACCAGAGATATGGTAGATACACTTGGTGAAGTAGGGGAAGGTAAAGGTAAACGTCATATAATTTCTTTTACACCATCCCATCATCATAATAATTAAAACGAATACTGTTTCATGCCGTTTGACACATAAATAATTATAAACAGAAAAAACCTTTTTATTTTTAGGGAACAATAAACTATAAATACTGTTTTGATATACATGTATATACAATTTCCCGCTCATGAATTTCTCTTATTCATTTATGTATACATACTTGTATACGTATATAACTGATAAAAAGGTGCGAAACAAGAAAATTTATAGTAGAAAATAACTGGTATTAACTGATTTTTCTCATTTTAAAATGATGCCGATTGGTTTCTATAGCCACAGGACAAATAAACGTACTATTATGGTACCATGGTTAAATCAGTTAATGTCAATTATGTTCTATATATGCACTACAAGAGAAGTGACGTACTAAACGCCCACTTATTTTTTTGCTGTCCATCTTTTGAACCCCTTGACCGTTATTCGTTTTGAATTGTTAATTTTATTGGGATGTCTTTTATAACGCAGATTAATCCCACAGTCATAGTTCAAAAATGAAATATATTCTATGCTCATCCTTGAGTTTAATATCTTATTTTTCTGAAATATATTTAATTATTCATGAATATGTCAAATTTGTATAACAGAATGAGTAAGTTGTATATGTGAAGCAGCGTTCAGGTTAAAAAATCGATTTTCCTTTAAAAGAAATCTGCCATTTTTAATGACACTTTTTATTCATATTTTGAGCCAGTGTAGTGTTTTAAAAATACCATATCTACTTTATACTTTTTCTTGAAGGTAAAATCAGTGATTTATCACTTATGTTTGCTATGATTAACTGTACTTTTGTAATTATTGGCTTACTTATCTGCATAATTTGCCGAAACAACATTTTGGACGAGGCTATTTAAGATTTAAACCGAACTTGAACTTGAGTTTTAAGTGATCTTGACTGTGAAGGTAAAATATTTAATGTTGCTAAAATGTAATAAGTTTGTTGTGTCTATAAGGATTTGATTGTTACTATGACAAAGCAAGATTTGCGACCATAGACCATAGGAACATATTCAATTTAAAAAATGTGGCATTGACTTTTTCTTGGCCTCAAGAGCAAATAATGATATTATCTTGTTTTCATTTTCAATAGCTATTGAATTTAGACCATTTGCACATCCTTTTTTATGTAAAATTAAACTTTGATATAAGCTTACCTAAATTTTGACTTAGTGATAATGACCTTATTTTGTATCTTTTGATATACAGTTATGGAATCCGTACAATGGTGTCAGTTTTAGTTGTAAAATTAAGCTTTGATATAAGCTTTCTTTGATTTTGACCTAGTGACCTAATTTCCTTTTCCTAAGATGTACAACTTTGAAATTTGATATAAGTTGACCTTGATTTTGACAAAGTAACCTACCGTCATGTGTTTTGGTGTACAGCCATAAATTTTGAACTTTATGCATAGCTTTCGATGAAAAAATACACTTAGTTATCAGTTGACCTTGTTATTGACAAACCTATATACATACATATATATATACATGTATATATTTATATATATATATATATATATTCACACATATCTTCACTTACGGGGCCTATTTATAAGACCGAGTTGAGTGGCATTATTTCATGCAGCCATTTTTATATATGTCACTATGTAGGCATATAATGACATTTCCAAACAACAGAACTAAGGGGTACTAAGTTATATATATCAACTATATATTTAATTTTACCATAGGTGAAAACATATTGACCAATAACATAAAACCCCATTAAAAATATATACATTTGTGGGACATATATCATTTACTACTAAAACCGGCCTACGGGCACTATGTTAGAAGGGTAGCCTACGCCCCCATACATCGTTTTAAACATGCCAGAGTTGCGAGGTCTTATGTATGCCCCACATTAAATATAAACCCCACAAGTATGGTCTCAAATAGACCGATGCCCCGTAAATGGAGGAATGTGACTGTCTATATATATATATATATATATATATATATATATATATATATATATATATATATATATATATATATATATATATAGGTTTGTCAATAACAAGGTCAACTGATAAGATTTCCTCAAACCTTTGGTTTGCTGTTAGAAATGAAAATCGAGCGTTGTCCACGCCGTAAGGTGGCCGCTGTTAGAAGAAGGAATAATAAGATTTATTTCTATATTTTTGCAAATGATTCTTAATACCACTGGAACCATTGCTTTGAATAATTGATGCTATTTTTGAAGTTCGATTGGTTGGAGGATCATATCAATATGAAGGAAGACTGGAAATATGGCATGATTGGTCTTGGGGAACAATTTGTGATGATGAATTTACAAAGCAGTCAGCTCAAGTTGCTTGTAAAATGCTTCAATATCCAAGGTTAGTAACAAACTACAGTATCTTATTTCCGCAGACGTTTAACATTTTTTACATTCAAGATAGTCAGATATAACAGGACTTCATTGTAATGCTCAACATCAACTGTACCTTCCCGAGTGCCATTGCTTTAATGGTATTTGCCTTAAAACCAATGCATGGCTTATATCATCGTTTAAATATTATGTAGGTCCAAATAGTTGGCGGTAAATTTGAATTATCGATTTATATCAGTTTTTTTACGATATCTTCACGAGACTTATACTTAACTATCCAGGAACAAATTGTATATTTCTCATAATTGAAACGCCATGTGAATGAATACAAAGGAAAAAAATACAAACGTTCATGTTGTTATGCATTTCCTATCAGAATCTAAATCATTATTTATTTTAAAAATGTTTCCTCTTTCAATTTTCATCAATTGTTTTTTTTTTTTCATCACATTTACTACTTGAAAATTGTCATCCATTTACAGTAGTCATCATAATTACACAAAATAAAGTAACATTTGACTTTATACCTATACTTTGTAATTCCTAAGTTTTTAATCTTATACTATATACATATACCTAAAGGATGATGCTCTACATAATTTTCTTTTTAGTTTTAGTAAATATACTTTTTTAAGGGGAGACAATCCAATTTACTTAAACAAACATTCTATGCAGTGATTACTTCCCTTATCACATTTGCAATGTAAACACACAAAAATATACATGAATTGCTGATTAAACAGAAAACTACCTATCACGCTACAAATCAATAATATGTCAGATCGAACTTAATATTAAATGTTTAACATACATTTTAACACAAAAAAAAAAACACAAAAAAACACGATAAACTGAATTAAGTAAAATCAGACCTTAAGTGAAACAAAACATTTTTTTAGTATAAAGAATGACAGTGTATAGAAATGTACATACATGTAAATCATATTTATTTTGTGAAACTTGAATGACCAACTATTAAAAATGTCTTCATCATTCTATCTACAGATGATAAATTCAACCCTACTACAGTATACAGCAGTAAAAGTAAATAAACTAAATGTCAAACAATTTTGATAATTGATTATATTCAATCAATTATAATTTTAACAGCATCTGGTTTCACCAGTTTAATCAAACTTTCCAACAGTTTAAATGAATGCAACACACGCATAGTCTACAGAATCAGTATTAAACTGAAATGTTAAAGTTTTGCTAAATATTTCTTTAATAGAAACAGATGGTCCGTTGGAAAGAAATGATATTATATTAATATTGAAAGAACTTGAAAATGAATGTACTTATGGTCAAATAATAAGAAGACACAAAAAGAAAAAAAGAAAGTAATGAAAACCCATCTAAATTATTTTGCAATTTTGGACAATTAAAAGGTCATGATAAAACTATATTTAAAATAAAGGATGATAGTGTAACAGAAGACACTTCTTTAGAAATTTTGGAAAGTTTAAAAACAATACAAACAACTTTATACAGATGAAACTGAAGACGTATATCTTAGTTCTCACGTTTTAAGTAACTTGCCACAAGTAAGTATTACAGATAATGGTTTCCTTAATAGACCAATTGTAAAGTCAGATATTTTGAATTCTTTGAAAGAAATGGATGCAACAAAAAATCTGATGGTCACTTTCTTTTTTTAACATTATATTTTTCATCTTTTTGGTAATGTTTTACATTTATTCTTCATATATTATGATGAAATGTCTCAGTGTTAAAAGTTATCTTATATTTCTTTTTATGTGAAGATAAAAATAATTCTGAACTTATGAAAAACAAAAGACCGTTTTCTTTATTAAATATTGCTGTTAAAATTATAAAAATAGACTTTCTTTTAGTCGTCTCAAAATTTGTTTTATTAGTTAAACATGTTCCATCAAGGAAGATCGTTTTTAACAGTATATCTTTACGTAGAAAACTATTTGTTTATGTAGAACAAAAACAATTAGAAGCCTGTTTCATTAATATTGATCAAGAAAAAGCCTTCTTTGATAGAGTATTTTGGACCAATCCTTTTTACACATGAATGTTTTGGGTTTTTATGATGTTTTATAAATTATGTTAGAGTTCTGTATAAAGATATAAAATCTAGTGTTATTGTAAATCACCATATATCTGAACCTCTTTTATTAACACGTTCTGTACGTCACCGTCAAAATCGTTCTTTGTCTCCTCTTCTTTTTATATTATGCTCAGAACCATTTGCAAAGTACAAGACAATTCTGATATAATAGGTATTTTAGTTAAAGGTGTTAAGATCCATGTCAAAATGTCTCTATATGCAGATGGTAATGCATCAGTTTTTAAATGATAATTTGTCAATTAAGAAATTTTTCCAAGAAGTCGATTTATTTCAAAGAGTATCATGGTCATAGATTAATTATAGGAAATCAAATGGATGATATTTTGGTAAATTGAAATATAGATATGATCATCTGTTTGGTATATCCTGGGTTCAGGATTGTACATTATTAGATTATTATATTGGTTACAATATTGATATAGACAAAATTTGGAATGAAAGGTTTTTAAAATGTACAATCAAAGTGTTATTCTTTTTTAAAGATAAAAGCACAATATTAAACTATTTAGCTTTTTCAAAAATTATTTATTGTATTACAGCAGACATTATATGCCTGAACATTATATTATTATGTTTCAGAAAGCTAGTTTAAAAGTTATATGGAATTCATCCTTTGAGCCTATTCCGAGAAAAACGTTATATCTACCTATTACAAATGGCGGTTTAAACAGGCTGGTAAAAATGCCCAATCGAGCTGATAAGCCCGATGTAGCTTCAATTGCCCCATCATGCTTAAATACTTCAATGGAGGCGAAAATGTTTGGTCCGAATTAGACCCTGCCGTATAGGGAAGGACCTACAATACATGAAAATTGTGGAATAATTATCATACATGAAAATAACATCATCAAAGGGTAACTGAAACAATGCGCCGCTCATTATTAATTTTACCTATAAACTCTATGGAGACAAATTATTTGATAAATTCTTCGTAAATACAAGTTTGTCTGCATCCAAATTTCGGATATCTTCAACTCCGGTCTTTTTAGGTCAGATAATTTAATTTCGAAAAATACATTCCTTTTATAGTCAGCATCTGACAGATTCCTCATCTTTTGTACGGGCTATGTTCAAAAGTATTTTCTTTGCGTTTAAGTGTTTTTTCTGCTTGGCTATTATCATCAGAATACAGATTTAATAAACTCGTTAGTCTTCATTCATGTTATATTGTATAATTGTATGGAATGTTTTATCATGCTATTAAGATATATCATGTACTGCTATATTTGCAATCAACATATCTCTAAATAAACAATAAAATCTCGAAAATCATATTTTTCTATCTTTCATTTATATACATTGTCACACATGAAGCTATTTTTATTATTGGTAGTGTTAGTTGCAGTGTACAATTAGGCCTACAGTAGGAAAAAGTATAATGGCGTCGAAAGTAAGTCCCACCCTAGCTATTTTAATAATGTGCCGTTTTACAATTTTGAGGCAGCATTAATTTCCTTGTTATTTCATTCATCATTAATGTATATTAAAAATTATTTATAACGGCAAAAATTATATTTATCTACAAAATTGGTTTAAATATTATTTTTAATTTTCTACATATGCTTGTATTGATGATTTTGTATTTAATTTTATAATTTACTTTATTTAATTGTAATTTATCATCTTGCAGAAAGTGCCAGCATTCTCTTGTGTTAGGCACAGTACTTTAAACACAAAGCCGGATGTTAAAATAATCCTACTCGCAAGCCAGAAAATTAAGGTTGACTTTATATCTTTCATGAAAAAAGAGGGGTTTATACCCAACCATGCACTGGCAGTAAGTGACTCATGTGTTGAACATTGTGACAAATTAAGAATTTCAGCCAGCAAGCGACCAAAGATTGATACTTTGGTACCTTTATAGACCAAATTGGAAACAAATTTACATCTCATTCTGATTTTCGTCAAATTGTAAAGGCCATTGGTCATAATATTTCGAATGATATTCTAGAGGATGCAAACAAAATCAGCACCTTACACGAATTTAACTCATGTTTAGATGAATTTAAAGTAAAAATTGGTAAAATTCGACAAATGAAATATTAGTGGATTTTTTAAAAGCTGTCACAGGACTCGATATGGAAAAGGAAAACATAAAAAAGTGTATGCATTTTAAGTGCAGTAGACTCTACATACAAGGCTAGAATGCTTAATTTTGTAAGCCCCTTGCCATTCTATTCAAACCTTGTTGCATACTATTTAAGTGGAAGTAGCATAGTCCGCAAATTTTATAATAAATCTTTATCAGGAAGAAGTTATGTCTCTTTAAAAAATGGCTCACTTATCAAGCTAACAAAACCCTAGAATTCGTTGATAAAAAAGCAGATACTGTAACTTTTTGGCAACAATCAACGTATAGCAAGAAACTGGCGTATTCGATTCGATTACAAGTGTAGGGCAAGTGTAGTGACAACTCTTGTCCATATACAACCCACTGCATCAGAGAATATACAATTATCAAATTGCCTAAATCCCAAACTATGGTTATATTAAGAAAATAACGAGCAATTGATAACCAAAACCAAAACACTAAATGATTCGGAAAAGATGTTCATGAATATAATACCCCGGTTACATATTCACGGAATACGCCCACGGAAGAGCCACGGATTAATTCCGGCATCGTTCGTAGCTACCCGTACTGGTCAGTAGCTCTCCGTATTGTAACCGTAATCAATCGTAGTAGTCCTTGTATATCCGTAGCGATCCTTGACAATTTTTGAACATGCACAAAAATTTGCTACGGAAAAATCAACCGTAGCGTATCCCTACTAGTCCGTATTAATCCGTACTGATACGTACTGGTCCGTACGAAAACCGTAATAGTCCGTACTGATTCGAAGTCCACCAACTTGTCAAGGATTTCCACGGTTTGGTACGGAGAACTACGTATTTGTAAGGTTACCCTACGTATAAGCTACGGTTTTAATACGGATTAATACGGCATTGTCACGGAAAACCACGATCGTAATACGTTGTACTACGGAGAGGCAAGGATTAGCACGGTCTTATACGGTTTATTGCGTTGCAACACGAAACGGTACGGAATGGTACGGCCCACCACTGTTTAGTACGGATGAATTAAGTATCATGTACTATTTCAAGGGTATACAGTTTGTAAATACTACCTTCTTGTTAAAAACAGACATATATATTTGCAGAAACATTTAATAAATGATAATTGCCATTTACTGGCTGCAACTTTATATTGAAATGGCTCAGAATGCGGAGGCAGTGGTCGAGCTGCTTGATGACATGCATAGAAGTAAATTTATATTAATATCGTACTACAATTCATAAGAAATAGAATAACATTTAATGTTGTAAACATATTTTACAAACATTGGATCGTGAAAATAGAGTAAACATGTACATAAAACGAAGTGTCTCATAAGCCTCGGACACTGGCCCTTGAGTGATAATAAGATTAATTAACAAGCTTTTTACATATTTTTAAAACATAAACATCACGATAATCAATGTAATTGTAAGATAAAAAGCAAATCTTAAAATTAAAAGAGAAGCAGTATTGATCAACATTTTTCATTAATGATTACTAGTCCATATATAATCAGTAAGAGAAGACAGAGGAGATGGTGGACTAGAGACGGGCTTTTACGAAGACCGCTTCATGTTTAGTATGAGGCTTTCATGGCCGAACTTGTTGAGGATCTAGCGTCCTTCAAGAAATTCACTTTAATTGGACTTGATGTGTCTCGGGGTTCGGACGCGATTAGGCTGAATCCTCTCCGCCAAAATCATTGAACTCTGCAATTCGTTTTCTAGGTGTTCTTTTCTTTTGAGGCATTTTGAAAATGAGCAAGCAAGAGGTTGTGGACGGATGTATTAGGTCCGTATAGATCCGTGGCAATTCGTTCTTCTCCGTATCATTACGTTCTTCTCCGTATCAGACCATACTTATTCGTACTAAGCCGTGCTTATACCGTAGCAGACCGTAGTGTATCCGTAGTGCGTCCGTCCTGATTCGTGTCGCTCCGTATCAAACCGTGTCGGCCCGTAACAATCCGTGTCTCTCCGGGGGCTATTGGTGGTAAATCCGTCGGACTCCGTACTCATACCGTTGTGTGTCCGTACTGGAACCGTAGCGGACTACAGAATTTCACATTTCCGTAGTAATCCGTGAACGATTAGACCGTAGCTCTTCTGTGGCATTATTCGTGAATATGTGACCGGGGCATTAGAGACCAATTCTTAGAAATGCCATTAAAAGTGTTAAAGAGCAGAACCCAACCGTTAATGGAAAACTAGTAGACGATGTGGACACATTCTGGGTACTGAATGTTTTTAAATCCATTAAAATAGATGTAATTATAAGAGAAAAAAAAATTTCAAATGAATGAAATGAGAAATACAGTGTGAAATAAAATAAATATATTGGTAGTTGATATCATTCTTATATAAAACATTATATTCGTTATTGGAAGAGTTTGTATAACGTTTTTCATTTTATAAATAAAGTAAAAACATGCAGATCATAGTCATATATATCCATTTTATTCACCAA